TGAATAAATCGGACTCGAACTGACGTCGTCCAACGTCCAAAGCATACAAAAATTACGTTGATAAGGTAGGATGGACAATAGCACTTCTGTACGACCTAGCGAATCTGCAGACTTGAAAGATGACCAGAATTTAAGAATCTGCCCTCGTTTTTGGCAACTATGACATGAAGTGAATCCATTGATTACTGACCTGAATCAAAGGTTTTGGGGAAGTTATCCTTATTTATTCTCAGAGGAACTCGATCAGAACATCAGATTGTCTGCGTCCCCCTAAAAGGAAAGCATTCAGATCGAATTATTGACTCCAATGCCAGTCATAACGGAACAGATGAGTAATAGTTTAATAAATCGTAATTTACGTGTGCTCGTCAATACCGCTTTAAAATTTGTTTGATTTACTTTCCACTTAGGGAGGACCACTGAAATCATCTCAGATTACTGCCATCATAAAAATGTGGAAAGCAACAGCTATGCTTGCGATAAATCTTCAGCTTTTATAAACAACTTCGATCGGTGAGAATTTTTGGTCAAACACACTTGGTACAGCGTCATCACGTGCGAGAAAGAGCTTCAACGTGAGACAGCTCCCAAAGAATGACAGAATGATAGACAAATGTGAAGGGATCGAGTAACAACGGTGAATGTGGATGACAGCCTGGAGATCGCGATGTCTCTACAGAATGTGCCCGATTGCTGGACTGAAGAAAGTGAAATTATTAACGAGCCATTGGTGAACATGATTGACGTAACTCTTGCATTATTTAAAGACGCCGCATGATAGAGATAATTCGACCCGTTTTTAGCTTGAGAAATAAGATATGAGATTTCTTAGGAATACGGTAAGAATAAGTTAGAATTAGCATCCACCATTTAAATTTTAACCTATGATGTCACCTTGCTGCAATAATTCATAGACAGACCATCGTACGTCTTGACGAAATTGTTTGCTCCAGCTGGTCCATCAATTACGGAACCATATTATCTGCAGAGTCATTGGCAGAACAGTCATAATGTCCACCACAAACTACTGAAGATTATAAGGATAAATGGGAAAGTGGCAAAAACTTGAGTATTTAGCAAACGGCTTGTTTCTTTACGTCTATGCTTCTGTTCGTCCTGGTTCTCCGTGACGGTCACTGAATCTGGCAATCGGATGAGTATCACACATTTGCTAGAGTTGATCCCATGTCGTTAATCAGATAATCTCTGAAAGCACCCATAAGGCCAGTAACATCTTTACTAACTACTGTTGCCTATTCCACTGCAAATCTTTCCTATATTTGGCACGGTTCCCTCAACCAGACACAAAAGTACGTTGGCGTCTCTTCCCCTGCCAAGCTCAATCGACATTTCTTCGCCGCTCCGCTTCCTCATCATCTTGGAGACACGTAGGCATATAAGAAGGTAACTGCGAATACCGTTCGTTGTGTAATTACGTTTTGTCAGTTTGGCTCAATTCAGTCTGCTGTCTCGATCTTGGTTCGTTCAATTCCGGTCTTTAATTTATGTCAAGTGAAGTAAATTTTTATTGATAATTCACTTGCATTATTTTTATCAGGTGCAATTACCAGTCACTGTCATCGCTACTTAATAATTATTATTATCCAGTTCTGCCAGAAGGATTCTCTCTTCTGGCTCCAATCCGACCAACTCCTGCGACAATCAGAAAGACGTCTAAAACTCTACCAAAAAAGCAAGTGAGACACGGACCGAAACGTCGGTAGTGGTCAATCATCCGATGGATAATATTATTTTTACGTTGTGCATTAATCATCGTTGCTTCATGCAATTTTTCAGTATGACTACCAATCCAAGAATGAACTACTCTACGAACTGAAGATATCATTTGAATCTTGCATAAAGTCAGGTCGTACTCAAGTCAATAGTGTGAGTAACCAGGGTGCCACCGTCAAACGGGTCGTTTTAAATATAAGATGCCCTGCACTTTTGTTTCGATTGATCAAGCTGTTCATCATTAAGATATTGATGTCTGTCAGGTTGAAATGCTAATGCTAACTAAAAATTTTTGTTCTATGAAAGTCATGCTGCCAATCGAAAGTTCATTCATTCAAAACCCGAATTAGTTCCAAGCTATCAATAATCTGAGAGCAGATCAAAATGCTTCACAGAAATTGCAATTTCACTTACTCTGTAGTGCTAAAGGATTTAACACTGGCAAAATGGCATAGCAACCACGTATCTGCTGAAAAGATGGAAATTTTTTCATAACCTCATTTATTTCCAGTCACTAAATCCTCAATATGACCGATGATGGCAAAAAACAAAAAACATTTTGTGATGCAGCGTTCCCGTCGAAATTTTGGACCTTGAGAGTAAAGTAAACAACTATTCGACGTGACTACGTACTTCTTAAACTAAAAGTTTTGTCAACGTGATCATTAAATAGGTAGCCATTGTCATCTTACAGTGTTTTCGAGCAAACTGTCATTTCAAGAATTACACAAATTGTATTTGCGGATGGTAGACGCGGAGAGAAAGGAATCTCAAGCAGTTGCGGAAACATCAAAGCAATTTGACGACGTCAGACCAGAAAAACTGAAACTTTGACTCAAGTTTCACAGCTAATTAAGACGAGTCTCGGTCAACGTGATGATCGTGCCTCCACCTGTTTACTCTGGAGTGCTGCAACCGAGAAGGCCACATGCAGAATTTGAGGAGTATCAAGTCACGGTTGACGGTATCTGGCACCCTTTGATTGACGTCGTTGTTAGGCTCTTGAAAGCTCATCTCACTTTAAGTTAATCTAGCTCTAACGTACGTGAAAAATTTGCATGTAAACTTGCAAGATTGAAAGGGATTGGTCAAAGTTTGAGTTACTGATATGTCTTTACCCTGCTAAGAGAGTGTAAAGAAAGAGAAGCACAAATGAAGCCCACAGCCACTAACTGCATAACGTAGGATCATCAGACACGGTCACGACCCCTTCGAAAATCTAAATGACATCGGCTGTTGCTGACAGTCACCAGCACCGAGAATGACGTCGGCAAGTTTGACAAATACGAAATCGTGCAGATCAAAAGTCGGGTTGTGACTTATCATCATAAACTAAAAATTGGTGTTTACAGCATTTTTACTATACCCGCCAAGCTACTGATTAACTGCTCAAAGTAAGTATACACTGAAACACTAATTTGTATCTGCAACTATTTTGCTCCAATATCCTCCTGTTTCAAAGTCTAACCGCCGGACGGATTTCGATTAATTCAGACTTCTTATGCTTCTCGTATTTTGCTAATGCGACGCAATATGTAAGATTGTATAATCCCATTGGAAAATTCATTCAGATTATTATGCATGCAATATATCGCAAAGCATTGTGGGCTTTACCTTGTGCAGCTTGCAAGTTGACTTCAAAAATTTGAAGCGAAGCTAAGAGAGCGGCCAAATCGAACATTAGTTAACTTATTAGCAGTTAAAACGATCAGCCTTTCAATTATTATGGGTGCAAGTGAATTTTAAACACTTTTTCAAGTCAGCCCTTTGAAGAACCATAGAACTTTCTGTTGTTAAGTGGAATCAACTCAGATTTAGACATAATGATAGACAATATCGTTGTTATTCGAAAGATGAACACTTTTATATGTTAATTCAGTTCGACTTCTTTTAATGCTTGACATGAAATCAAAAAGATTATTTACCGTTCAGAGGAACGACGATCAACATATGAAATCTGGAAATCGCTGTTTCATCAGATTGTTCGCACTTCATCTTACCTATGCAAATAATGAGAAGAACGTTGTTTTCCTGTTTATTTTTAAATACATTAATCAAGCATTGCCTAAACCGTCTCCTGTTTAGAAATCTTGCATGATCTTTAATTCAGAAGATAGTCGGTATATGCTTAAAATGGGTAGATAGATGGTCAACTTTTCACGATATTTTATTTAAAGCTTGATGCGGACGAAAAACCCATTTTCGGTTGTTTAGTCAATGTGTTCTTCTCCTAGATTGATTAATCTTCGGTATACCGGGAGACCTGCTAATTGGTGATTTGCGATTGATGACCGCTTTAGGATATATGACAAATCTTCAAGTGTAAGAAAAACGCCTGGTCGAGCGTTGGTGGGTTCGAAACCCCAATGAATCATTCGCCTTTCCCTATCATCCTTTCAAAATCAATAAATGAGTACCACTTCTTGGGAAAAAAACAAGAGATTACAGGGAAAAGTGGATATCCATTTGGAGAAAGCCTTGAAAGTATAAAGCCAACACGTCACTTTAGGCTGTTGATATGCCAAAGAGATTAGCGCCGCATCCCAGGCTCTAAACGAGAAAATGCTGCAAATTGAGTAAAATCATGGATAGTTAGGAGTGACTGGCTACATGCTTGATGGATATTTGAGACAAGGAAAGAGCTTTCGAGCCTATAACCATGGAATAAGAAGACACTGAGCAACTGAGTCATTGCGAAATTCTGAAGAAAATTGTTGTATTTATTTACTGAAGACCTCTCAGACATCCTATTCTGGATACTCTACCCCTGACACTGATAAACCAGATGATGATGACAACTTTCTCCAACATCATCTGAAGATATTTATTGAAATGCATTGCCTGTTTTTGTGTCATACACTGTTTATGTATCTGTCAGTTTGAACAGTCGGTACACTGTTCATGTTTCAGTTCAAGACGTCGAGCCACTGAAATGAAACGCAAGATATTATTAACTTTGCTGACTTAGCAGAGATATATACATCGGAGCTCTGGTGCCACGGAAGTTTCCATTCAGATTTAGCGGGGCCTTCATTAGTCAAAGATTACATTACCAAGTTTCTTCGTCGAATTTGCTACTTTCAGAAATGTGCTCAAAGTACCGCGCTGCGAAATGGGAGTATTACGTTGCGGTTGCAACTTGATCGAACCACAGAAGGCTTCATTCTCTGCCTTAAAGCAAAGCTCAATTTTCTGCTGTGAAGAGAAGGAGCACCGATGCAGTGCTGTTGAACTCACGTGAATGACGTGTTACTGAAACTCGATGTTCATCGTGGCGCAGCGAAAACGGAGGAGGTGAGGAAAACGACGTGAAACGCGAAGCGCGCGATCCTCGCGTCCCCCTCAGACATGTCAAGAGGGCAAGGCAAATGCCAGCTGAGGTGGAGGGCGACGTCTGAGGAAACCCAAGTGGCTGCTTCCTGTGGAAAGTTGACGGTGACAAACTGGAATTGGACGGCCGGATGACGGCCCCGCTGCTTTTGTTCCCCTGGTAGCAAATGAAACCGAATTAATTGCGGTCTGACGCCATTCGGACACTTGGCATCGCAACGTCGGCCATCGTTCGCCGCCTCTTCTGGCTCCAGGTTATCGCAGGGTGACAGTAAATTTCGGCAAAGTGCAATACTTGCTGGAGCTACAGTTTGTGAACGGATAATTAATTAGGTTTTAAAGCAGACTGCCGCTGTTCAGGATAAAAACAAGCCACTGATAAATAATCAATAAATCACCACAAACAGTGAAAGATGGAACTTAACGAATAAAACATTTTTTTGATAATAAAGTTTTGTTAATTTGCGCAATTTTGTCTGACTCGAGACTCTGAGTGTTGATGAAACCGGTCAGAGGAAAAAGCCGATTTCTGAAGATGAAGAATTTCTTTCGTGCGTTGGCGATCATACTGCAAAACGGCATCAAATGCAATTTAGTAATACACAATGGCAAAATCTGTGATCAAACGGATGACTGTTGTGTATTACTAAACCGTATTTTGAGCTGTTTATCTGGCTAATTTCTGGAGCACTTGAAGCGTTCCCTTCATTTTCATGAAAATCGAATGAAAGATAGTCTTGAAGTCAAACTAATGAAGCTATCAATAAAAAATAGACAGATAATATTTAATTTACGAAAAGTTATTATTTGAACATGGCTTTGAGCTGAAAGCGCAAATTTAAAGAATGGTACGAATACGGTAATGTGAAGCGTTGTATACTTTAGGGAGACTCGCATCCAGCCTTGAAATTGGGACCGCCATCCAAGCTGTTGTGTACAAACAAGTCACCCATTGTTCTACCGAAGGGCCATAGACAACTGAGGAAAAGAGATGCTTTGGAATGAGGTGGCGAGTGAAGTGGATGCATGGCCGAATGGTCATACCATATGGT